AAATGGATAACTAGTGAAAAACAGTCAGAAAAGATGAGAAGGGAAAAACTGTCAATGGCCCCCCACCCTCCTGCTATAAAAACACTCCTGTTTTGGGGGTTGTCCCTGTAGTGTGCCTGTTAATTTCATTAACACCAACTGAGAGAAGAGCTGTCAAAGAGAAAAGGTCATTTCTCTTTGACAGCTGGTTTTATTTACAGAAAACCCAGAGTAGTGCGTCCTCTGGATACATCCTTACACTGTATTATTCCAAACAGATATCTGCATTTCCTCGCTTTTTAGGTTCCCTGCGCCACCCCGACTTATAATTCATGGAAACGCCCCTGCCTTCATGTCACGTAGCGGTCAAGAGTTGTGCTATCCGGGCGAGCAGATGAGTGTGCACATGCGTGCGTGTTCGTGCACATGCGTGCGTGTCCGTGCACATGCGTGCGTGTTCGTGCGAGTGAGAGCAGAAGGCGTAGCTACTTCAAAGGGGGGGTCGAAGTGGGGCACAAGGAGAGGAGCGAGGAGGGTCCGGAGGTAACGAGGAGGGAGGGGACGTGTTGTAGGTCCCTGACATGAATGGACTATGTTCGCTAAAGGAATCGTAACTCTCCCGGTTTCAATTCTCCTGCTTCATCTCCCGGTTTTCCCGCTAACGGACAGCTGGCCCGTTGAGGTAAATAACTCGGGTTGTTCACTTCATTCCGATCACTTCTGTGTTCAGACGTTATGACGGGGGTCTTGGTAATTCACGGTTTTATCTCCAGTTTTCGTATCAAGTTCGTAACTGATGCCATCCTCGGTTTATTAGTAACATGGCAATGCGGTCTCTGACTGAAAGTCCCCGAACAGGCGGAGGGAAGAAGTCTCACCCAGTCCGGGGAAGTCACTGCTCCCCTCGACGTATCCGGACTGCAAAGAGCCATAAAACCGCTCAGCACTGCTCACGTTAGACGGCAAACAGACGCAGTGAAGTGGCTTAAATGTTGCTGATGATCACAGCAGATATAACACCAGCTGTTGAAGCTCTGCCGCAGTAACCGGTATCATATAGGTTCAAACCTGCCCTGTGTGATGTGAGCTTTATGTTTGAAGCCAAAAAGCGTCTTTTGTCTGTGGGCTGTTCTTCCCCTCTTTCAGCTTTGCTGCTTGTTTATCAGTGTGGCTGAAAACATCCGCTTCTTGAACCTCTGTCTAATTCAAACTGATGGTTTGCTTCAAGAGTAGATCTCAAAATGTTATTTTTGTCTGAACTTTGTTCATTTACTAGGCTAACTACAGGTAACTAACGGAAACTTAGAGCATTTTACAGTATGCAGTAGCTTCTCAGTAACAGCTGTGGTCCATACAGAGCTTTTATTTATAGTCAGATCCTCTGACTATAAATAAATGATGGTCATAATAAGAAAATTACTCTTATTTACAAAAAGGGACGTAATGCTCTGTGGACCCCAAGCTAGCGCTGGACCCACAAACTCAACAGGAAAATGTTTACCAAAGGTCACAGATACAGAGGGCTGAGAGACATTTCCCCATAGACATCTACACAACCAGAGAGCGGTTTCTAAAGAGAATGTGAGTTTAAGACACTCGTGTGTTGGCTTCACTCTTCATGCCTAGAAGCTGCATATCCCTCTTTGATACTGTCTGGGCCATCCCATCGTCTCATATTTATTACGTTTTAAACTTGGTCAGCAAGTTGCATCCATAAACTGTATGGGTGCTAAGGAACACCATAATGGGATGCATGGGCTTCACTCAGTTAAACTACAGCATATATTTCTTGGATGAACCGTATCAGACAGCAACACATATCTGTAATATACAGTGGGTAAAGTTAGTATTGAACACATCACCAATTTTTATACTTATAAAAGTGCTATTGACATTAAATTTTCAATAGATGTCGTCAACAACCCATGCAATCCCCACATGCTAAAAAGAAAAAAAATCAAACCATAGATGTCCATAAATTATGTGCAATAATGAGAAATGACAGAGGGAACCAGTATCGAACATGTTTACTGAAATGGATTCAATGCGTCGTACAAACGCGTTTGTTGGCTTCAATACGCCTGCTGTATGCAGAAACTAGTCACAGTGACAGGTGTGATTTTACCCATGCTTCCACAGTCCAGAAGGTTCTGGGTCATTCTAGCAGCTTTGGTTTGTTTCTCTGAAACTAAGAGTTTGTTGGCTGTGTTTGGCATCACTGTCCCCTCGTTTCATCTTCATCATCCTGGTAGGTGGCAGCAGGTTTTTATCAAGACTCTCAGGATGTTTTTCCATCATCCTTTAATTATTTGAGTCACAGTGCTGTATGCTGAAAACAGCCCCACGTCACGATGTTCCCACCTGTTGGTTTGGTGTTTTTGGTGATGTGCAGTGCCGTTCACCTCCAAACATGGGTGTATTCTGGCATCCAGAGGTCAGTTTTGGTCTCATGTGACTCTACTCTCCCAGTGTTTCACAGGCTTGTCTAAATGTCGTTCAGCAAACTTTAAATGCACTTCATTATGTTTGTGCTTCATTATACTTGCTGTCCCTGTGTGGAGACTAAAACACTGGGTGGACTGAGAGTTTTTGGTCCCCAGATTATGGAATGGGTTGTTCCTGTTAGATTGGCCCCAGCAGTTGCAGTTTTTAAATCATGTTTAACCTCCTAAGACCCAAACTCTTTCATGGCATGCATTTTTAATTTTTCTTTGCTATTTGGGTTGATTGGGACCTAAAGAATGTAAAAACAAAGAATTACCTATTTTTTTTATTTTTTTACCTAATTTTTGTTTTTGAGAAAAATGAGAGCCACATATCAATCAATCAATCAATCAATCAATCATATGAGGACATTTGTTTCAAATTTTGATAGCACAGTGGCAGCATAATGTCCTCGTAAGTGGACATCAGGCCCTTGTAGAGAAAAATTAAGTATTTTGGTCTAGATGTCCCAAAATGTGACGTCCACATATGTGGACGCCAGGTCATAGGAGGCTAAAAAAAACCTTTGGATTTCAGTGTGAGTACTACTGTTAGCGTCTAGGTAGTTTTAGTCAGTTTTTTCATCTATTTTAATCTTTTGTACCCTTTTTAAGACTTGTGTTTATGTACTGTACATTTTGTGTTTTTATTTTTCTGTTTTGTATTTTTTGTCTTCTTTATTTGATATGTGTTTTTGTATTTTATTGTCGCCGTCTTCTAACTGGAAAGCACTTTGGGTAACTAAATTCCTTTAAAGTGCTCTATTTTAAAGTCAGTCACCAGAAGTCGTTAATAGCTTTACGTATCGGGCAATTAAGAACAAACTGAACAGGATCGTCAGAACTGCTGGAAAAATATTAATCAGCAACAAACTTCATTGGATAAACTCATCAGGCTGTTAAAGGAAGGTGCGGTTCATTGTTGCTGACCGTGAACACCCTCTTTACTCTGAGTTAATGCGCTCAGGACGATGATATAGGACGCCTGTCTAGAACAGGTTGTATAAGGCGTCATTGAGAATATATAGACTTGAATGATTGCCTAGGTTGGATTCTCTCCAACAACCATAAAATGCCATATTTGGTCCATCTTTGTTTTCCTGATTATATCTCCCTCCACGTCGCCTCCAACTCACGGGTTATCATCCAGTTCCAGGCTTCTTTACCCATTTAAAAAACTAAATCAAATTAATCTCCTTTTTCAAAACGTCCTTGTTTCCTGTCTTTCTAAATAGCAGCTGCTCACCTGTTAGGACACCTAAACTTTGCCCTGTGCAAAAATCCACAAGGCTGCGCTTTTAACCATCACTCCTTGACACAGTGACTCTGGACAGATCCGAAACTGAACGGCAAGTCTGGTAACTTCTGCTCACCAACTGGAGTGGAATCACTTTCTTTTATCATGTTCAGCTGTCCTGAGGATATTCGTCTTCTCTCTCAAACAAAGTAAAACCTCACCACACCTCACATTCAGACCCTCTGTTTACAACTGAGTCTGGCCACGTGGATCCCTTGTTTCTCTCACACTTCAAGATCTCTT